TTCTCAAATATGACATCAGGGGTTCGCGTGACAACAACACAACATTCTCAAATATTACACCAGGTGCCCGCTGATGACAAAACAACATCCTCAAATATGACACCAGGGGTCCGCGTGTTGACAAAACAACATCCTCAAATATTACACCAGGTGCCCGCTGATGACAAAACAACATCCTCAAATATGACATCAGGGGTTCGCGTGACAACAACACAACATCCGCAAATATGACACCAGGTGTTCGCGTGACAACAACACAACATCCTCAAATATGACACCAGGTGTTCGCGTGACAACAACACAACATTCTCAAATATGACACCAGGTGTCCGCGTGTTGACAAAACAACATCCGCAAATATTACACCAGGTGCCCGCTGATAACAAAACAACATCCTCAAATATGACACCAGGTGTTCGCGTAACAACACAACATTCTCAAATATGACAACAGGTGTCCGCTTGATGACAAGACAACATTCTCAAATATGACACCAGGTTTCCGCGTGTTGACAAAACAACATCCTCAAATATGACACCAGGTTTCCGCGTGTTGACAAAACAACATTCTCAAATATGACACTAGGTGTCCGCGTGATGACATATACAACATTCTCAAATATGACACCAGGTGTTCACGTGATGACAACACAACATTCCCAAATATGACACCAGGTGTTCGCATGATGACAACACACCATCCTCAAATATGACACCCGGTGTCCGCGTGTTGACAAAACAACATTCTCAAATATGACACTAGGTGTCCGCGTGATGACGTATACAACATTCTCAAATATGAAACAAGGTGTTCGCGTGATGACAACACAACATTCTCAAATATGACACCAGGTGTCCGCGTGATGACAAAACATCATCCTCAATTATGACCTCAGGTGCTAGCGTAATGACGTATACAACATTCTCAAATATGACACCAGGTGTTCCCGTGATGACGTATACAACATCCTCAAATATGACCTCAGGTGTTAGCGTAATGACAAAACAACATCCTCAGATATGATCTCAGGTGTTAGCGTAATGACGTATACAACCACCCTCATCTGAGCATGTGCTGCAGTATTGGCAGCATCCACTTTGTGTATAATACCTTTATTTAATCAATGTCAGCTGTTTGCCCACTATTTTAAAATACAAACTGTATTTTTTATATTTTCATGAAGATTGTTCAGTACACTTAGGATTAATATAAAACCAGGGAAAAACAATTAGTTTATAAACATTAATCATTAATCATCCAAATGTGTTCATGTGAACATCAATCTCTTTCAACTGTACTGAGATCTGATTTTAATGAGATTGATGTTCACATGAACACATTTGGATGATTAATGATTATAAACTATTTTTTCCCCTGGTTTCATATTAATCCTAAGTGTACTGAACAATCTGCATGAAAATATATAAATTACAGTCATGATGCAGTTCCAACATAACAAGGAAGATGCTGATAATTAATGGAAAGAGGATGAATAATTACCTGCTGCATTCTTCGACGAAACAAGGCCAACACACAATGTGAGCATCAATTTGTTCATGACACCTTTCATGTACACCATCCAAGCTAAGACCACGTAGATCAATGGCAGGCCCGAGCACAGCACCAGTATATAACTGATCCTGTTCAAGGAACACGTCCAGTAATGAGAGGCCCTGTGTGCCGCCCCAATTCTCGCAAGGCCGTGTCACAAATGTTCGTCTCTGACAGGTGACTGTTGTGTTACAAGGCCGTGTCACAAATGTTCCTCTCTGACAGGTGACTGTTGTCTTACAAGGCCGTGTCACAAATGTTCGTCTCTGACAGGTAACTGTTGTGTTGCAAGGCCGTGTCACAAATGTTCGTCTCTGACAGGTGACTGTTGTGTTACAAGGCCGTGTCACAAATGTTCGTCTCTGACAGGTGACTGTTGTGTTACAAGGCCGTGTCACAAATGTTCGTCTCTGACAGGTAACTGTTGTGTTGCAAGGCCGTGTCACAAATGTTCGTCTCTGACAGGTGACTGTTGTGTTGCAAGGCCGTGTCACAAATGTTCGTCTCTGACAGGTAACTGTTGTGTTGCAAGGCCGTGTCACAAATGTTCGTCTCTTACAGGTAACTGTTATGTTACAAGGCCGTGTCACAAATGTTGGTCTCTGACAGGTGACTGTTGTGTTACAGGGCCGTGTCACAAATGTTCATCTCTGACAGGTAACTGTTGTGTTGCAAGGCTGTGTCACAAATGTTCGTCTCTGACAGGTGACTGTTGTCTTACAAGGCCGTGTCACAAATGTTCCTCTCTGACAGGTAACTGTTGTGTTACAAGGCTGTGTCACAAATGTTCGTCTCTGACAGGTGACTGTTGTCTTACAAGGCCGTGTCACAAATGTTCGTCTCTGACAGGTGTCTGTTGTGTTGCAAGGCTGTGTCACAAATGTTCGTCTCTGACAGGTGACTGTTGTGTTACAAGGCCGTGTCACAAATGTTCGTCTCTGACAGGTGACTGTTGTCTTACAAGGCCGTGTCACAAATGTTGGTCTCTGACAGATGACTGTTGTGTTACAAGGCCGTGTCACAAATGTTCGTCTCTGACAGGTGACTGTTGTCTTACAAGGCCGTGTCACAAATGTTGGTCTCTGACAGGTGACTGTTGTCTTACAAGGCCGTGTCACAAATGTTCGTCTCTGACAGGTGACTGTTGTCTTACAAGGCCGTGTCACAAATGTTGGTCTCTGACAGGTGACTGTTGTGTTACAAGGCCGTGTCACAAATGTTCGTCTCTGACAGGTAACTGTTGTGTTACAAGGCCGTGTCACAAATGTTCGTCTCTGACAGGTGACTGTTGTGTTACAAGGCCGTGTCACAAATGTTCGTCTCTGACAGGTAACTGTTGTGTTACAAGGCCGTGTCACAAATGTTCGTCTCTGACAGGTAACTGTTGTGTTACAAGGCCGTGTCACAAATGTTCGTCTCTGACAGGTGACTGTTGTGTTGCAAGGCCGTGTCACAAATGTTCGTCTCTGACAGGTAACTGTTGTGTTGCAAGGCTGTGTCACAAATGTTCGTCTCTGACAGGTAACTGTTGTGTTGCATGGCCGTGTCACAAATGTTCGTCTCTGAGAGGTAACTGTTGTGTTACAAGGCCGTGTCACAAATGTTCGTCTCTGACAGGTAACTGTTGTGTTACAAGGCCGTGTCACAAATGTTCGTCTCTGACAAGGAGCTGTTGTGTTACAAGGCCGTGTCACAAATGTTCGTCTCTGACAGGTGACTGTTGTGTTACAAGGCCGTGTCACAAATGTTCGTCTCTGACAGGTGACTGTTGTCTTACAAGGCCGTGTCACAAATGTTCGTCTCTGACAGGTGACTGTTGTCTTACAAGGCCGTGTCACAAATGTTCCTCTCTGACAAGGAGCTGTTGTGTTACAAGGCCGTGTCACAAATGTTCGTCTCTGAGAGGTAACTGTTGTCTTACAAGGCCGTGTCACAAATGTTCCTCTCTGACAGGTAACTGTTGTGTTACAAGGCCGTTCTTCAAATGTTCGTCTCTGACAGGTAACTCTTGTGTTACAAGGCCGTGTTACAAATGTTCGTCTCTGACAGCAGGTGACTGTTGTGTAAATGAGGAAGCAGTTCCGATTACACGTGACTGCCTCGAGGAAGCATTCTGCTGTCAGTATCAGTGGTTATCAGATAACGGTCTGTACACAAAATTACTTGCTCAAGTATCTCATTTACTTCCTACACATAGTAACCGTTATGCAGACATCCATACGCATGCAGTGCAACATATGTCCTGTGTTAATTCAGCTTTTTCTTGCATTTTCTTCTATCTCAGACAATTGGGAGACACGAGTCTTGTTTCCTATACATGTGGTGACATGATAAACAGAGGATGGACACGTGTACATATCACTTATCATAATTACCTATTGCGTGCACACCAGTTATGTGTTACAAATACATAGACACCTGCACGACCTGCGAATATTGCTGGATAATTGAGAGGATATGACATGAAGAACAAATGAGAAATTAATGGCACATAAATACGTCAATCAATACGCCTCACTTAAAATACAACTTTCTTTCAATTTATTTAGAACAAATATATTTAGCAAGTGGACCGTCAACAATAACACTGCCTTGAAGCATGTGGACCGTGAACAATAACACTGCCTTGAAGCATTTGGACTGTGAACAATTACACTGCCTTGAAACATGTGGACCGTGAACAATAACACTGCCTTGAAGCATTTGGACTGTGAACAATAACACTGCCTTGAAACATTGTGGACCGTGGACAATAACACTGCCTTGAAGCATGTGGACCGTGAACAATAACACTGCCTTGAAGCATTTGGACTGTGAACAATTACACTGCCTTGAAACATGTGGACCGTGAACAATAACACTGCCTTGAAGCATGTGGACCGTGAACAATAACACTGCCTTGAAGCATGTGGACCGTGAACAATAACACTGCCTTGAAGCATGTGGACCGTGAACAATAACACTGCCTTGAAACATGTGGACCGTGGACAATAACACTGCCTTGAAGCATGTGGACCGTGGCCAATAACACGGCCTTGAAGCATGTGGACCGTGAACAATAACACTGCCTTGAAGGATATGGACCATGGACAATAACACTGCCTTGAAGCATGTGGACCGTGGACAATAACACTGCCTTGAAGCATGTGGACCGTGAACAATAACACTGCCATGAAACATGTGGACCGTGGACAATAACACTGCCCTGAAGCAGCACGTGCAGCAACCTCACAACGTAGTCAAGCATGATTATAATTTTTATTAGTCCACATTAAACATGCTACCATTGCTCGGCTTCAGACAATTATTGATGTTCCGCCCCGTGCTCCAAGTGGTGCTTTCATTAAAGAACGCTTCAAACTGCTACAAGTTAAAGATGTTAAACATACTTGAGTTGATACTGAAGAGAGGCCAGACAGGCAGACAGACAGGCATAACAACGACATGTATTTGTGGTGTATATTGTTTAATCATCTGAGTGAAATATATGCGTATTGTCATTTAGCGTATTGATCTGGCAGCTCGTCATGCCCATGACGATGACACAAAATAACACTTTATATTACAGAACCTGTGATCTGGGATGGCCGGCCATGTCACAAACACAACTGGCAACTTCTCTCTGTCATCTCCGTACAGGTGTACCCGAACCCATGTTAGGTGTAGCATGTCACAACAAAGGGGCACAACTCTGCACTGTGAATTGCGCGGTCTTAGACCACCATAGTGTACCATCGATAACTCTTACCCATGACTGATGCGTCATATGTCTACCCAGTGTATGTGCAGCATCAGGCACAGCGGTGAGCTGGTCAGCATTTGATGTCACCAGCCTCCCCCACAGCAATATAAATACCATCTACAACATGATCTGTAGATTTCATCGAATGTCCGTATAATGGATCATTCGGTCATAAATGTCACGAAAAGTCATTTGAATATGTTGGACATTAAGCTGGTGTACTTGTAGCTATGCATTATATGTTGGTATCGTACAGTTTGTGTGTGTCCCGGGATCACAGCCGTATGGATATAATGTTGTTCTCCTTCACTGCTTCAGAAGGAACAATAGTCATGTAAGTGTGTTCATTGCTTTTCGTGTTGTTGTTGGTGGTCAACTTGCTATAGAGTTCAGCAGCTTCCTTTGTCTGTGATGCCTCCACAGGTTGAGGTGGGCCCACAGTTTGAGGTGGGCCTACAGTTTGAGGTGGGCCTACAGTTTGAGCTGGGCCTACAGGTTCAGGTGGGCCTACAGGTTTACTTTCTGGAGGTTTTATGGTCTCATACACAGGATCGGAGTTGGGGACTCCGGAAGTGACGATGTTGTCATATACGGCAGACTGTCGTCCATTCTCCGTGTCACGAGACACGAGATGTCCGGAGGGATCGGATTGCTTGGCTGTTTTGTGTTTTCTGTAAAAGAGATGACAACATGGCGATATTTGTGAAAAGGAAAATATCATTTCACGAACGTTTTGACGACATGTTATGTGCAAGTACACAAACATTGGCCCTTGTGAAGATTTTCAGAACTAAGGAATAACGATTTGATATTTAAGGATTTGTGTTGTTCTTTCAAACGGAATGGTGGTTAAATATTTCTATGGTGTTTTCACTGTGCAGTGTGACATTGTGTGTCTACATCCGGCTTCAGATATACCCTGTGTATTGTTTCTGTGCAGTGCGACATTGTGTGTCTACATCCGGCTTCAGATATACCCCGTGTGTTGTCTCTGTGCAGTGTGACATTGTGTGTCTACATCCGGCTTCAGATATACCCCGTGTATTGTCTCTGTGCAGTGCGACATTGTGTGTCTACATCCGGTTTCAGATATACCCACATCCGGCTTCAGATATACCCCGTGTATTGTCTCTGTGCAGTGCGACATTGTGTGTCTACATCCGGCTTCAGATATACCCCGTGTGTTGTCTCTGTGCAGTGCGACATTGTGTGTCTACATCCGGCTTCAGATATACCCCGTGTGTTGTCTCTGTGCAGTGCGACATTGTGTGTCTACATCCGGCTTCAGATATACCCCGTGTGTTGTCTCTGTGCAGTGCGACATTGTGTGTCTACATCCGGCTTCAGATATACCCTGTGTGTTGTCTCTGTGCAGTGTGACATTGTGTGTCTACATCCGGCTTCAGATATACCCTGTGTATTGTCTCTGTGCAGTGCGACATTGTGTGTCTACAGCCGGCTTCAGATATACCCCGTGTGTTGTCTCTGTGCAGTGCGACATTGTGTGTCTACATCCGGCTTCAGATATACCCTGTGTATTGTCTCTGTGCAGTGCGACATTGTGTGTCTACAGCCGGCTTCAGATATACCCCGTGTGTTGTCTCTGTGCAGTGCGACATTGTGTGTCTACATCCGGCTTCAGATATACCCTGTGTATTGTCTCTGTGCAGTGCGACATTGTCTGTCTACATCCGGCTTCAGATATACCCTGTGTGCTGTCTCTTCAGGGATGCGCACTGATGGAGGGTGAATTGGTTTCAAACCAGTTACTTACTTCCGGCACCAGGTGATGACGACAATGACGACGATCAGGAAGGCTACTCCTCCGACTACTGCGCCGATGATGGTGCCGACGTTGTCAGCTGGCCCTGGGGAGCATCGTATATTGAGCTTTTTTACCTAGTATACTCGTTTATACAAACACAACCTTTAATAACAAAATAACTCACATATATTGTTCTTAGACTCCGCGGATTACAAAGTAACCCGTATAGCTTCTTGTTAAATACAACAGAGGACAAAGATATCCATATGGCTTGTTGTTAATTACAACGGATAACAAAGGTATCCATATGACTTATTGTTAAATACAACGGATAACAAAGATATCCATATGACTTGTTCTTAAATACAACAGCTAACAAAGATATCCATATGACTTGTTGTTAAATACAACGGATAACAAAGATATCAATATAACTTGTTGTTAAATACAGCGGATAAAGATATCCATATGACTTGTTGTTAAATACAACGGATAACAAAGATATCCACATGCCTTGTTGTTAAATACAACGTATAATAAAGATATTCATATGACTTGTTGTTAAATACAACAGATAACAAAGATATCCATATGACTTCCTGTTAAATACAACGGATAACAAAGATATCCATATGACTTGTTGTTAAATACAACGGATAACAAAGATATCCATATGACTTGTTCTTAAATACAACGGATAACAAAGGTATCCATATGACTTGTTGATAAATACAACGTATAATAAAGATATCCAGATGACTTGTTGTTAAATACAACGGATAACAAAGATATCCATATGACTTCCTGTTAAATACAATGGATAACAAAGCTATCCATATGACTTGTTGTTAAATACAACGGATAACAAAGATATCCACATGCCTTGTTGTTAAATTACAGTACAGTATAGTACGGTAAAGTACGGTATAGTACAGTATTGTACAGCATAGTACAGTATGGTACGGTATAGTAAATCAAGTACAGTATAGTACGGTATAGTAAAGTATAGTACAGTATAGTAAGGTATAGTACGGTTTATTACGGTATAGTACAGTAAAGTACGGTATAGTACGCTATAGTAACTTAAAGTACAGTATAGTGCAGCATAATACGGTATAATACAGCATAGTACAGTGTAGTTCAGTATAGTACGGTATAGTACGGTAAAGTACGGTAGAGAACGGTATAGTACAGTATAGTATAGCACAGTATAGAACGGTTTAGTACAGTATAATACAGTATACTACGGTTTAGTACAGTTTAGCACGATATTGTACAATATAGCACGATATTGTACAGTAAAGTACGGTATAGTACAGTATAGTATAGTACAGTTTAGTATTGTATAGTACGGTATAGTACAGTATAGTACAATAAAGTAGAGTATAGTATGGTAAAGCACGGTATAACACGGTATAACACGGTATAGTACGGTATAGTGCGGTATAGTACAGTATAGTACAGTATAGTACTGTATAGTACCTTATAGTACGGTATAGTACAGCATAGTACAGTATAGCACGGTAGAGTACAGTATAGTGGTGAGGTGAGGTGAAATTGGGTTTAACGTCGCGTCCAAGATTATTGCACTTATATAGCGACGTGCATGCACGTGTATGTGTGTGTGTGGCTGCTTGTACTAGTCCGGACTGATGCCGATTTATAGTGCTAGCTCACTGAGATACCATGCCGCAGTTTTAACATGAATACCCCACTCAGACACAGTATACTGACTCCGAGCCGACCAGTCCTTGTTTTAGCCCCTTAATGCCGAGCGCCAGACAGGGTAACAACAAGTACAATCTTTTAACGTCTTTTTGTATGACGCGGCCCGGGATCGAACCCTGGACCTTCCGCTCTCCGGGCGGACGCTCTACCACAAGACCACGGAGGCGGTCTTACAGTATAGTACAGCATAGTACAGTATAGTACGGGATAGTACGGTATAGTACAGTATAGTGCGGTATAGTACAGTATAGTATAGTATAGTACGGTATAGCACGGTATAGTACGGTAAAGTGCGGTATAGTACGGTATTGTGCGGAAAAGTAAAGTATAGTACAGTATAGTACAGTATAGTACAGTTTAGTACGGTATAGTACAGCATCTTAGAGTATAGCACGTTTAGTACAGTATAGTACAGCATAGTACGGCATAGTACAGTATAGTACAGTATAGCACGGTATAGCACGGTATAGCACGGTATAGTTCTGTATAGTACAGTATAGTACGGTATAGTACAGCATAGCACACTATAGTATGGTATAGCACGGTATAGTACGGTATTGTGCGGAATAGTACAGTATAGTATGGTATAGTACAGTATAGTACGATATAGTACAGCATAGCACAGTATAGCACGGTATAGTATAGCATAGTTCAGTATTGTACAGTATAGTATGGTATAGTGTAGTATAGTATAGCTCAGTATTGTACAGTATAGAATGGTATAGTATAGTATTGTACAATATAGTTCAGTATTGTACAGTATAGTATCATAGAGTATAGCATAGTTCAGTATTGTACAGAACAGTATAGTAGAGTATAGTTCAGTATTGTACAGTATAGTATGGTATAGTATAGCATAATTAAGTATTGTACAGTATAGCATGGTATAGTATAGCATAGTTCAGTATTGTACAGAACAGTATAGTAGAGTTTAGTTCAGTTTTGTACAGTGTAGTTTGGTATAGTATAGCATAGGTCAGTATTGCACAGTATAGTATAGCATAGTCCAGTATTGTACAGGACAGTATAGTATAGCATAGGTCAGTATTGTACAGTATAGTATGGTATAGTACAGTATAGTATGGCTTAGTACAGCATCTTACAGTATAGCACGGTATAGTACAGTATAGTTCATTATAGTACGGTTAGTACAGTATAGTACAGCATAGTACGGTATAGTACTGCATAGTACAGTATAGTACAGTATAGTACGGTATAGTACGATATAGTACGTTATTGTGCGGAATATTACAGTATAGTACAGTATAGTACGGTATAGTATAGCATAGTACAGTATAGCACGGTATAGTACAGTATATTACATTATAGTACGGTTAGTACAGTATAGTACAGCATGGTACGGTATAGTACGGCATAGTACAGTATAGTACAGTATAGTACGGTATAGTATAGCATAGTTCAGTATTGTACAGAACAGTATAGTAGAGTATAGCTCAGTATTGTATGGTATAGCATAGCATAGGTCAGTATTGCGCAGTATAGTATGGTATAGTATAGCAAAGCTCAGTATTGTACAGCATAGTATGGTATAGTATAGCATAGTTCAGTATTGTACAGAAGAGTATAGTAGAGTATAGCTCAGTACTGTACAGTATAGTATGATATAGTATAGCATAGGTCAGTATTGTACAGTATATTATGGTATATTATAGTATAGTTCAGTATTGTACAGTATAGAATGGTATAGTTTAGGCATAGTTCAGTATTGTACAGTTTAGTATGATAGAGTATAGCATAGTTCAGTATTGTACAGAACGGTATAGTATAGTATTGTTCAGTATTGTACAGTATAGTTTGGTATAGTGTAGCATAGTTCAGTATTGTACAGAACAGTATAGTAGAGTATAGCTCAGTATTGTACAGTATAGTATGGTATAGTATAGCATAGGTCAGTATTGTACAGTATAGTATAGTATAGTTCAGTATTGTACAGTATAGAATGGTATAGTATAGGCATAGTTCAGTATTGTACAGTATAGTATGATATAGTATAGCATAGTTCAGTATTGTACAGAACAGTATAGTATAGTATAGTTCAGTATTGTACAGTATAGTATGGTATAGTATAGCATAGGTCAGTATTGTACAGTATAGTATGGTATAGTATAGTATAGTTCAGTATTGTACAGTATAGTATGGTATAGTATAGCATAGTTCAGTATTGTACAGAACAGTATAGTAGAGTATAGCTCAGTATTGTACAGTAAAGTTTGGTATAGTATAGCATAGGTCAGTATTGTACAGTATAGTATGGTATAGTATAGCATAGTTCAGTATTGTACAGAACAGTATAGTAGAGTATAGCTCAGTATTGTACAGTATAGTTTGTTATAGTATAGCATAGGTCAGTATTGTACAGTATAGTATGGTGGAGTATAGGAAAGTTTAGTATTGTACAGAACAGTATAGTAGAGTATAGCTCAGTATAGTATAGTATAGTATAGTATAGTATAGTATAGTATAGTATAGTATAGTATAGTATAGTATAGTATAGTATAGTATAGTATAGTGCTGTATAGTACAGTATTGTACAATATAGCATAGCATGGCATAGCATAGCATAGTATTGTATCCAGTATTGTACAATATAGTATAGTATAGCTATTTGTAAATCAGGGACCTCCGTTGCGAGCTTTCTTCCTAAAGAATTTTGATTGAACGTGGTTTCTTTAAAACAATAATATCGTTGCATATAACAATTACTGATATTAAAACAAAAATATGTCGAATACTTTTTATGTGAAATATGTGAGTTGGATGTCCGAAATCTGGGATTTTTTTTCTGACGATACAGCTCATATGGGGTGTGTAGTTCTACGGTGTAGTTTAGTACAGTATGGTACAGTATAGTTCAGTATTGTACAGTATGGTATAGTTCAGTACAGTGTAGTATAGTTCAGTATGGTACAGCATAGTATAGTTCAGTACAGTGTGGTAAAGTTCAGTATGGTATAGCATAGTATAGTTCAGTATTGTACAGTATGGTATAGTTCAGTACAGTGTAGTATAGTTCAGTATGGTACAGTATAGTTCAGTATGGTACAATTACGCCAAAGTGAGTAGTGACGGCTTAACCCACACAGACCCACACTGACACACACTGCACAGTACGGTCTGCCTGACACACAGATCAGTACTGACATACACTGCACGGTGCGGTCTGCCTGACACACAGATCAGTACTGACACACACTGCACAGTACGGTCTGCCTGACACACAGATCAGTACTGACACACACTGCACAGTACGGCCTGCCTGACACACAGACCAGTACTGACACACACTGCACGGTGCGGTCTGCCTGACACACAGATCAGTACTGACACACACTGCACAGTACGGTCCCCCTGACA